ACCGAGGTCAGTAGGGTAACTTACCCTGAGAGAAATGCCTGAGGATGTTTGGGATGTGGAAGACACTTTTTTTTTGTTTGTTTGTTTTGGTAGGTATCAGTGTTTCTGGAACTTTGTTCATACCCAGGGCCTTGGAAAGAAAATGACTGTGTTGTAGCCTGCTGTCCTAAAATGAGCTAACTCCTTTTCCCACTCTCATCTAAGGGCATACAGCCTTACTTGAAATCTCTGTCAAATTCACAAATCTCTCCTTGAATCAGCCCACATTGTATCCCCTGTAGAAGCTCCCCTTTGCACTGTTGATTGTAGCTGCTACAACCATCAAGTTTCCATTTTCCCCAGTCTCTGTAAAAGGAGTACTTACTTGGCATGCCTGAGGTTGATGGTATTCTGGTAAAAATATGAAGTCTATACCCACACTGCACTTAATAAAATATGTAATATCTACACAACACTTATTGAAGAGATGCTAAGTCAGTGAGGTTTTGGCACTCCGTGTAAATGCTTCTTGTGCACATTACTTTGCAGCTAATGTTTACAGGAATGACAATTGCTTTTTATTTTTTGCAGCTGTACTGACTTTTTCAGAGCTTGAACACAGTTTAGTTTATTTCTTGCCTTAGTTTTGCTAAAAGTATCAGTGGTGACAGGAGAGCAACACGGAGGATCCTTTTAAGTTGTCAGATAAAAATCTGAAGTTTGATTGATATCTGCAAAATTTTCATTTAAGTTTTTTAGCTTGAAGAGCTCAGTATAGTATTAATTTCAAAAAAGACTCATTCACAATTCCATAGTGGAAGGTGTGAATGGATGGAGTCATGCCTTAAGCATGGAAAATGGTTCAATCTTAAAAATTCATGCTGTGATCCAGACATGGAGTGTCCTGTGTTAGTGTGCATTTGTGGAGTAATGGAAATACAACCTTGTTTTATCTCTCTGGTTCTGAAATCAGAGACTGCATATTGTTGTCGATGCCAGAAGGAATGACGTCAGAAGGATGCCAGAAGAAAGAGACTTAAATCTTATATATTTAAAGGTTTTTTTGTTCCCAGATGTATGTATTAATTGGGAAACAAACTGTGGAGAAAGAATCCTTTGAAATAAACCAGATTCCTAGTGGAATAAGAAAACTCCCTCTAGTGCATTTTCTCCCTCTATGTCAGCTTTTATGGTCTTCTTTCTGGCACTCATCTTTTGAGATTTTTTTTAAGATTGTTAAGAAATTTTCTCTTACATCAACAAACAACTTTCAAAGCTTGATCAAAGCTTTAATAAAGGCATCTTGCACAGAAGATTGGAGGCAAAGGGGCAAAAGAAGCTGTTGGGAGGGAAGTGCAGGGCTACTTTCTAATTTGCTTTTACGTTCTAGGATCACCAAAATTAAAGTTGCATTTCAGGCTTGTAAACAATTGAGTTTACAAGAGAAATGCTTGTATAGGGCATGTGTCTATAAACGTGTGTATTGAGAAGTGTAATCAGCAACTTCATTTGTACTTGCAGAATTGTGTTTATTAATGTTACACTGTCATTTAGTTGTTCTTTCTCAGACTGCCCCAGCCTGTTGGCTAGCCCTCAGTAAATGGTGAAGGAAAAATTCGAAGGAAACTCCTAGAGATTGAGATAGTGCTATAGGAAGCCCCTCCCAACAACATTAGAAAAGTCTGGAAAATGTACAGTAGACCAAGTGTTTTGCTGAAGTTTTAAATACTAGCAAAAAGCTTTCCAAGTTTTTCCTGGCAATAAGGCTCCTGGACTCACCTGCTAGTTTTTTATTTTTTGTTTCCCCTTAGGGGTGTACAGCGAACAGTAAGCAGGAATACCTCTGTGTGGAGTTCAGCTGAGCTACCAGCAAAATTCCTGTCTGAGAGCATATTGCATTATGGGCTCAGCAGAGCAGTAATGTGCTCCCAACTCCCTTTTTTAAACACAATGACAACACCATGGTCTTTTTCCACAATACTGTGTGGTGGGGAGACAGGGTGCACGTGTATGTGTCTGTCTGGAAGTCCATGCCCCGAGGATGGAGGGAACAAGTTTCACATGATGCACCTTCAGGACTGAAGGGAAAGGAAATACAGGATGCACATCTGGAACTGCTATACTAATGAGAGAATTAAGAGAGCAAAAAGCACGGAGCATACACGTAAAACAGAAGGTCAGGCCTTTTTTAGCTCGAAGTCTAAGTTAAAAAACACATATTAGTCATTCATTACGCACCCAGAATGTCTGAGGTATTGATTATTCACAGTGCTCAGGAGTGATGAAGGAATGCCACTTCTGATCCAAAAGCAGTGGAGATTAGCCGTATTAGCTTGGAGTATTGCTCACCAGGGGAAGAGGGGGAGAATCATCAAGTATGAAAAGCTTTTTTAATGCATAAGTAGAAATGGAAACTAATGAACACTGTAGCCCTACAGAAATTTTGAGGTGTTTTTAACGATAACTGACTAGAAATGTTTTCCAAATATGCTGTCTTACAGAAGGTACTCATTCCCATAGGAGTGAAAATTATTTAAAGCAGATGTTAATAATTTCAAGTTTTTGCTTTTGATTTTACTTTTTTTTTAGGTGTTTGTTCTGTGTTTTTTTATTTATATAATTTTGTTTTCCTTTTTGTTCTGGTTTGTGTAAAACAAGCAACCAAGGAAAAGGCCCGAAGCAAATGAAAAAGTAAAAAGAAAGCAATTGACAATATCAAATACATGTAATAGTAGAAGATATATCCAGCAGTTGGAAAAAAGTGTATAGTCTTTTATATTAGAAAAATTCTTGTATTAAAATCTCAAGAAAGGAGCAAGAAGTAAAAGCTTTGCCTCATATTCTGCAAATGTTTAGCTCCAGGCACTGTCACTGGCTTTGGTGATAATGTGAGGGAGGTCAAACATATGGTATGTCCTTGCAAAAATTAATCTTGGGGACCGTTGCATAACCGGCCTGTGGAGTCAGTGCTTGTCTGCAGGAGCCTGGCTGCTGCTGGTTGGGTTTTTTTCTCCAGCTGTAAATCTCATTTTTAAAGTACCAGCATATACCAGATGCGTACCAAATAACACTCCTCGATGCAATTATTTGCAATAGCTGCCAGGGGGGTATTAGGAGGTCTCAAAGGGAGCAGGGTGTCTGCAAAACCCACTCAGCATGAAGATAGTGTTCTTGCTCATAACTGCACAAATCCATGTATTCGGACCACATAGCCATAGCACAGACTCAGAAACCTTGGGGAAAATGTTCTTTCCTTTCCTTTGCTGAAACAGTGAGTTCCTAAGTAATACAAGATGCAGAAGAGGAAGAAGGAAGGAACTTGGTATTATAGGTTTTTCCTCCACGGTGTGAGAAGATGATTGTGATCTCTCTTCAACTCAACTAGGTGATCTTGAGCAAGACATTGGACTTTGTGTCTTGGGTTCTTCAGCTGCATATTTGTGCCTCTTTCCCTTGCAGACACACTGTGATAATACAGGCCTGTGGTTGCAGTTGTAGGTGGTGAGATCAGAGCAGCCTGTGCTGGGCTAAGTAAAAGCTTGGCGGGAAAGTTTATGTGAAACGATCAAATTCACCAAAAATGTACTTAATTAAAACACTCTGCCCAAATCCAGGTGTGGACATGTTTGTTGAGTGCATTTCTGGCTGTATCTTGCTTAGCCCTTGTCTGTGCTGTCAGGCACACAGCTGCAGAGTCCATGTTACTTAAGGGGCTGCCTTTGTACACTTCCCTGGAAGGTCTGAACATCGATGTGGACAGCAGGAGATGTGATGTAGAGAAAAGCTTGGTCCTCTAAAAACATTGTCTGTCTGAGAATCTTTTTATTTTACTGGTCACTAAATTGTGATTACTGTATTCATTTCTGGGTGGTGCTTTCCTTTATAAAGTTTCTGTTGAGATTGGTACTGAGGTGGAGGGAATGTGCTCAGCAGCAGCATGCATCTCTCATATACTGGGTGTATATTGTGAAGCACACTGCTAAAGTATCCTCAGAGTCTGTAAATGTATTGCCCGTGGCATTTGCTTGACTATCAAAATTATATCTTAGCTGTCTTCCAGTCTTTTACTTGGTTTGCTTGGAGAAACTGGGAGAAGGAGTGGAAATTACTTGTAGGCAATGCCAGCACACAGGGAAAACAGTTGAAATAATCTTACAGAAAAGGTAACCTTTCTTAGTAGCAAAATATCTCAATTTTTGTGCCTGATTTTTGCCATTAAAATGAACTAAAGAAGGTAAAGAAGTAGCAAATTGATTTGGGGAGGGGAGTTGAGTTGACTGCTTCCGGTGTGACAGATAGCCCTAGCAGTAATAAATACCATATAACAATTCTCAAACAACTTTCCAGGCATGCTGTTTCTTCATCAGTTACTTTTCTGGGCTTTTTTTCCCCCCCACAATCCAACTGAAGTTCACTTTAGTCCATTGGAAAGGAGTGTTTTCTGTGTGCACATGAGGAACTAGTCACTGGGCTCTTGGTTGAACTTCTGAGTTTCAGTTTGCATAACTGAAAAATTAACTTCTTTGATGACACATTGAAAATCAGTGTTTGGAGTTGAGCTCTTCCCATCTGCCCAGACCTGGTGAAGGAAGCAGCATTTGCCTTGTGAGCTCTTTTTTGGCCTCCTGCTGAATGGCTGAAGGAGCTGAGAGGTAAAGGACCACAGCATTCTCTGCCTCTAAGAGCTCACAGCTGTGCCAAGGTTATGGACAGTTACTTCTTGCAAAAAAAAAAAATAAAAAAGGCTATGACTCAAACATAATAATTTCTTACGGTGTTTAATTAATAGTATAAAGATCAAAATCCTTCTGCTGCTGTCTGCTGAGCTGCATCATCTCCTTTGCTCACATAGCTTTTGAAATATGTTTTCTCACTCTGACTGGTAGAAGTGACTGCTTAATATCCAAGAGACCCCGAAGTCCATCATACTCCATTAGCAAACGGGCTAGCAGGGTGCTGTGCTGTGCACGGAGCTCTGTGTCTGTCCAGTGCTCATTGAGATTGTGTGTTCTGTCTTCCAGATTCCGACCTGAGCATGCGCACGCTCAGCACGCCCAGCCCAGCATTAATATTTCCACCGAATTCCCCTGGGTTCCAAAATGGCAGAGGTTCATCCACGTCTTCCTCCTCCATCACTGGGGAAACTGTTGCCATGGTCCATTCGCCGCCTCCAACCCGTCTCACCCATCCTCTCATCCGGCTGGCATCCAAGCACCAGAAGGAGCAGGCCAACATAGACCGGCTGCCCGACCACTCCATGATCCAGATCTTCTCCTTCCTGCCCACCAACCAGCTGTGCCGCTGCGCCCGTGTGTGCCGCCGCTGGTACAACCTGGCCTGGGACCCGCGCCTTTGGAGGACTATCCGCCTGACCGGCGAGACAATCAACGTGGACAGGGCTCTCAAAGTGCTGACCCGGAGGCTTTGTCAGGATACTCCCAACGTATGTCTCATGTTGGAGACGGTAATTGTTAGTGGCTGCAGGCGGCTCACAGACAGAGGACTCTACACCATTGCCCAGTGCTGTCCAGAACTGCGGAGGCTGGAGGTGTCTGGCTGTTACAACATCTCCAATGAGGCAGTCTTTGATGTCGTGTCACTGTGCCCAAACCTGGAACACCTGGATGTGTCAGGTAACAGGGAATGGTCCAATACAGATGCTTCTGATGTTTGTCAAACTCTGTAACTGCACGCTTATCCTTTCTGTGCTGTCTTTCAAAGTAGGAATGCCTGTCTCCTAACAGAGCACCTGTGAGACAGGCACCGCTGAAATCTCAGTGTCCCTAAAGCCAGCAGCACCTCTGGAGTGGCCAGGCCTCTTCCAAAGGAAGTGAGCTAGCAGAGATGGCCCGTTCAAATGGCACAAGGTGTTATTACAGATTTTTGCACAAAGCACCCATAGAAAGGCCCACACTGCAATCAGTGCTACGTCATGTGGTGAAGCCTAGTTACTTCAGCAAAACTTGTTTTATCTTTTTCACACACGTGTATATGTAGATTATATATAGGTAATGAATACATCTGTAATCTGGTAAGTGACATGAGGAGGAGCTCAGAATAAGTACTGGGGTTTTTTTTCTGGGTATTAATATAAGTTGTCATCTCTAGCTAAACTTCAAGGTCCCCTTGTTTCATTGCTATTTTAACACGACTTAGCCAGCTTGAACATTTTTCTCATTTCTTCCCTTTATTTATTTTTTTAAGCTGCTGTTGCAGCTGTTTAGATCAGCAGAAATGTTTTAGACAATTTTCTTCAAGCCTGCTCTGGGGAAACAAGATGTTTTTCCCAAGGTCAGCTGCGCAGAATTTCCTCTCTGCGGATAGGTTGGCACTTAATGGAAAGGATGCAGCCAAGCAGAGCACTGAAGTAAATTTGCTGCTCAACATTTACCTTGTGATCTCATCTGTTATCAGTCTAACGCCATCATAAATCAGCCAAAACAGACTTGCCATTGCAGAGGTACCAGTGGCAGCAAGCAGGAGAAGACAGGGGATTAAACAACAGGGAGTAGAAAGTGATGCTGTTGAGTCACTGCTGCTGTATCCTTTTTCCAAGGCTACCTATCTGGTGTACACTGATTTGCATTCTTCTCCCTGCTTTTTAATTTTTTTAAAGCTGATTTATCCAACTCTCTTCCCCCATTCCTAGGATGGAATGTCATGGAAGGCATCAAAACAAATATAAATAAATCAGAATTATGTCCTTTTTGTTACTGCTTTCTGAAACCACAAGGTAATAAGGAGTCCATGGAACTCCACAGAAATCTATTCACAGTGACCTTGTATATGAATTACTTATTGTTGGTACACGCTGATATTAGTTCTGGATTGCTAGTCACACGTTCAGGTTGAAGCATCTCCAGTGCCAGGAGAAAATTTATATACCGGTGTGATTTAGACCTAGAGCTTTGAAGCTCGCACCCTGAGGGTAGCTGGGGGCTTGTAGGTGGTTGAAAATGCTTTGGTCCACGGCTCTTATTTATGGATGTGCAGTAGAACAAAGGTACCTTTTTCAAAGGCGGGGAAAAGGAAAAGATGATACCAGGTCTTGAGAGAGGTTATTTTGGGGTCTATCTTAATTTGTGGTTTTCCCAACCCTCTTACTCTCAGACTCAGAAGGTAGTATCTGTCCCTAAGAGCTCATCAGTTTGGTATAAACTATGCAGGGGTAAATAAAATAACTGTCTTCCTTCAATTTTGTCTCATCAATAAGATAGAAAGTAATTTTAATTTCTTTTTTTTCCTAAATTGTTCTTTCTATTTGGAGCATGTGAGGGAAAAATCCTGCTTTTGAACATGCCCAGAAGTCAGGGTGTTTGGTTTCGGATGTAGCTTTTGCTGCATGTAACATATGAATTGAGGATAATCAGTCTTCTGGCTCTTGTTTTAAGTCCAATTTTTTCATTCTGATGTGGGTAATTTTGGAGGATATTTTGGAAAGAGGATTCCATTTTCCCCTGCTTTTCTCTGTAGTTGCGAGGACAAGGCTTGCACCTACACGCTCAAGGAATTCTCAGGACCGAAGTGTTTCACTGGTTTGGTTTCCCTGCTGAGCAAGGGGACGTGGGGGTGTGTTGGGGGGTGATGCTAGTTGCTAGTTAATTAAATCCCAGTCCGCAGTTGTACATCTAGTTGAATCCTTTTCCCCCCTGGATGGCTACTTGGCAGCAAAAACTTACCAAAATCTTTAATGTCAAAACCAGATGTTTGTATTAACTTTAGGAGCTTTCCACAATGTAAGTTCTGTCACTGTCAGCATCCACTTTGTGGGCAGGCCTGAGATATTGCTAGAAGTTGGTTGAGCTCGACTGCAAATTATTGTCTAATACTCTAGCCAATATGTTTCTTGGTCTGTTTGGACGTTTCTCTTCTCTTTTAGAAATCAGTTATACTTACTTTATGGAAAATCCTGTTACAAGAGCTTTATTTTTACATTTTGTATTATTTAGGACAGAAAAATTGTTGTGGACCCAGGAATCTGTCATTTTGCCTAAAAATCAGTCAGTTCTATATCAGCATGGATTCTTTTTTTCTGATGAAACTGTTTTGAATATCCTTCCCGTGAAGTGTTTTACAGTGTAGCCAAAGTAACTAGACATGGCAATGCTGAGCTTGACAAAACAATGATCAGCACAACTGATATGTGTGACTCCAGCCTTGCTGTGAGACTTCTGACCTATTTGCTTTCTAATTATGATCATTAAACCTTCTTGGACTCTCAGCAGACAGAATGTTCTCCTTGGCCTCGTGGATGCATCGTTCTCACTAAGCCAGATTTAAAATTGAATTCTGGTCGGAATACAAAATATCCAGACTGACTTCTTAATCCAACAACCTCCTCAGCCAAATGCAACAGCAGCAGCTCCATCAGGTGCAGCAGAACTCTGCCTAGGTGCCAGCTTCTTCTGTGAAACTCCCTTAATGCATTTTGTATCACCTACTTCAAATAATATACTAGAGGTGAATTTTTTTACACCATTAGTATCGTAGTGCTTCCCTAAATCCTTTGTGTTACTGTGTATATAGTACTTAACTGAAGACAAAAGTACTTCCAGAGATTGCTCCAGAGCATAGACGGATCTGAAACAGTCTGAAGAGAAAATAGCATTCAGTTTTAAGATGTTTATTGAACAGAGTGGTTTACTTCAAGGTCTTGCTTCTGCATAACCTGTGGTCAATTAGTCCATTTAATTGTCTGAGGCCTAAGGTAAACTTTGCATCTATTCAACTGAATTTGAAACCCAAAGATCCAGAATAAATTTAAATAATGAATGTAGAAATCTAGTTACAGGTGACACAGTGTTTTAAATCCATATCCCACACTTCCTACAGCATTTATGTGAGTCCACATGGTTATCTCAAGTGATTTTTTTCCTTTTTGCTTTTAAGAACTGAAGCATATTCATACTTTCCACTAATTCTCTGAATGATGACCTCTAATAGCAAGTGGTACAGCTTTGGGTCATGTAAGTTTTTGAGGCAGTCTCCATACATCATCACGCTCTTAAATTCCATGCTACAGTATTTCTGCAGGGTTTCTGATACATGGAGCTCTAAGGTCATTGCTTTTTATGAGTCACTTCATACTGCTTGGCCAGTGTTCCAGCAATATAGAAAAGGTCTTTTTATTTCTAACTGGGGACACCTCTTCAGGCGTAACCTGCAGAATTTCTCTGAGTAGCCATTTATGGCTAAAACTGTTGGGCCTTAATCACTAACAGGTAGACTCTCCTTTCTTGCAGCTGTTTCTAGCTATGCTAATGCAAAGTGCCCAGCTGAACTTGGCACAGCTTAAGAATTTCCCTAAGAAGCTGAAGACTGCCAGTTTGCAGTGCAGCAGAAACCACGCTTTCCAAAAAAAGCTTTCACTCTCCTCTATGCAATGAGTGGAAGTTAAAAATGGGGAAAGTCTGTGTGTGTTTTTCCCTTTAATCTAGTCCTTTGTTCTTCCTTGCAATGTCTGGTGTTTCTCCTCTAGTCTAGTTACCTCCATTCATGGCCAGACTCTCTCATAGGGCACAGTCCTTTTCTTTGTCTGTGCATGTCCTTGCATGCCCTTACCAGTGTGTTGGCTCCTATCAATTCTCCCTTTTCTCCTTAGGTTATCCAAATTTCCACCCTTCTACAAGCACACAGTTTTGCCATAGTTTTGCATCCTTCCCACATTACAGGCTTGGGGCTGGATTCACATCTGTTCTCCAAATGCTTGGGGCAGGGAAGGAGGGGAAAGGGAGCAGGGTTGTGTTTTCTATAATGAGTTTGGATGGTGAAAGAGCCTCTGATGTTGGTTTGCAAATTCAGCCAGTCAGCAATGAGACTGATCAAAAAACTGCATTGTTTGTCACGTAGTATCCTTTTCTCTAACTGTCACTGGGTTTAGATTGCAGTAACAGACCATGGGCTGTCCCCAGATAGATCCAGGACCACCATTTTACATTTGGGATATGGACAAAATCAATCCATTGCTTTCCAGAGCTCACAATCTCAAAGCAACCTCACTGACTCCAGTGGAGTTTATTGGTGTGGGCACTCAGCAGGGCAAATCAGAGCAGTCGGTCAGGGTGATTCCACTCTTGCAACACGAGGATACTTTTGTCATGTCCAGCACACCGTTCCACACCTACTTTTCTGGTCATGCTGTGTGATTTGTTTTTGCTGCTTGCTTAAACTGTGTTTTTCCACGTAGGCTGCTCCAAGGTAACGTGCATCAGTCTGACTCGCGAAGCCTCCATCAAGCTGTCTCCCTTGCACGGGAAGCAAATCTCCATCCGCTACCTGGACATGACAGACTGCTTTGTCCTGGAGGACGAAGGACTGCACACCATTGCCGCCCACTGCACTCAGCTGACCCACCTGTACCTGCGCCGCTGCGTGCGCATCACCGACGAGGGTCTGCGCTACCTGATGATTTACTGCACGTCCATCAAGGAGCTGAGCGTCAGCGACTGCCGCTTCGTCAGCGACTTCGGCATGCGGGAGATCGCCAAGCTGGAGTCGCGGCTGCGGTACCTGAGCATTGCTCACTGCGGCCGCATCACGGACGTGGGCATCCGATACATAGCCAAGTACTGCAGCAAGCTGCGCTACCTCAACGCGCGGGGCTGCGAGGGCATCACGGACCACGGCGTGGAGTACCTCGCCAAAAATTGCACAAAACTCAAATCGCTGGACATCGGCAAGTGCCCTCTGGTCTCAGACACCGGCCTGGAGTTTCTAGCCCTCAACTGCTTCAACCTAAAGCGCCTGAGCCTGAAATCCTGTGAGAGCATCACTGGGCAGGGCCTGCAGATCGTAGCTGCCAACTGTTTTGACCTGCAGATGTTGAACGTGCAGGACTGCGAAGTCTCTGTGGATGCTCTGCGATTTGTTAAACGACATTGCAAGCGCTGTATTATAGAGCACACCAACCCTGCTTTCTTCTGAAGGGACACCCCACACCTGTCATTGCAATGCAGTATTAAAAACACTGATGTATAAACACACGCTCCCATATTCAGTAATGCTGTCTTTTCTGTCGCTCACGGGAGTCAGTTTTTCTTGTACCTTATGGGTGAGGGGGGTTTCTAGAGGACTGTTTTGTTTGCTTTTTTGTATGATCATTTTTGAAGGTGCCGTGGGTCTCTGTAGAGAGGCTGCCTTAATGCAAACGCAATGAGTGCTCAGCATCCCCAGTGGGATGTCGTTTCCATAAGAGCCATGATCTTGTCCCAGGCTACAGTAGCTGCCTCCCAAGGAAATAGCACATCACCCCTCCTTCGGAAATACTACTAAGCTGTGTCAAATACATCTGAATTCTAGCTGGGCTCATGAAGCTGACTATGCAATATTGTGTCTGTGTTCCCCAACTTTTTCCAATATAGCTGATAAAGCATCTTCTTGTCTCCAAGTAGTTTCTTTTTGGTAGTCATCCATTGTATTCCCTCAGGAAATGTTCTTAAACATACTCATTTGAGGGAGAGTTAGACCTGCTGGCCATTGCTGAGCACTTCTACAGAGTGAATCTGGAGATTGTGCCCATGCATAGATTTTCTTGGGAAGCCCACCTCCAGGTCACTTCTACATCATCTCTACTTGCCTTCATTTCTAAATTTTTCCTCTCCTGCATGTGTAGTACCACTCTCTGGTAGTTGACAGGGACTTCTGGCTCTGATAAGCAGTGGTGTATTCACCTGAGTGGAGGAGAACAAATGAGATATTGGTGGCCTGGCAAAAGGAAAAGCCTCCAAACCAGCCTGAGATGCTGCTGTAATTCTGCAGCGAGCTGAGATAGTACTGTAGGACAGCAGAGAGGCTCTGAGGCATTGTGGAGCAGCTTGCACAGGGCAGTCCCAAGTGCTGTGCTGTGCAGCTGTCACCAGAAAGTCTGGCTTTGTCCCTTTGCTGTACCTTTTCAGCAGCTGTGGCACCACTGCAGTGGATGCTCCCTGAGCTAACCAGGCACTTGCATTGAGGTAAAGTTAGTGTGTGCCTTAATACACTTGGAAACCTGACCCTTTTCTGTGGCCTTCCAGTTCAAAGGGTAGATGGCTGATCTCAAGACTTCAAAGACCTTAGCCTGATGTTAGATAACACCCCTGGGGACAGAGGGGCTTGGAGTGTTATTAGACTTAGATTTTTTGAGGCTTTGGCTGCATGTGTTCCCTTAGGCTGGAGATGCAGCTGCGTTCAACAAAGAATTAAACAGCAGAGCTGCCCTGTGACACTGGGAGCTCCTGGTACTCTCATGGTCACTCTTGCTCTTACATGAGCAGGAGTGTTTTGGAAGTCCCCCATCTCCTTGGCTCCTTCCCCAGAGTGTGCGGTTGAGTCATGGTTACTTTCTTCACAATTTTCTGGCAGCTGTTCCTCTGCATTTTCGTATGTAATGCTGTGAAAGATCTGAAGGCCAGGCACGTGAGGGGTGATGATATTTTCAGGCAGGCCCCCTGTGCCTGACTGACAGGTGAGTTCTTATGTTCAGCTCAAGCGTTCTAAGTGTCTCATAAGAAGGGAAGCGCCGTGTCTGGTTTTCATAAGCAATAGTTCCATCATCTCCAGACAACACTAATAAAATCAGTGGTATGAAGTGAAAATCAATATGCTCAAGAAAAACACGTAACTGCTGAGGAAATACTTATAACAATACTTTCTCAAGTTGCACCAAAAAAAAAAAAAAAAAAAAAGGTTAATGATTTGGTCATGTCCCTGGGGAGGGAACTTGTCCGTCCTACTGCTGCAAAAATTTCTGTAATTTATGTGTGTTCCACCAATTCTGGATTTTTTAATACAAGATGGCATCAGCACTGAATTATAAATTAGGTTATACTAAATCAAAGAGGGCCAGGGAAAATGAATTTGTCATTGCTACTGTTACTGGTCAGTGACTAATATGAAGTGATACCATCCCTTGGACCATTAATTTCATTTTGGTTTTCTTTTCCATATTTCTAAAGTAAGAGATTCTTCTCCAGCAAGTAATACAGTATATTTTATCCAAGCCATCTATACTCTCTGTTTATCCTTTATCTAAAAATGGCCTCAAGGAATTTAAATGTTGAGCCCTGAGGATGGTGGGATTTTGAGCCATTTGCACTCATGAAATATAAGGCCTCACTAGTAACATTTAATTGTTTATTAAAAAAAAAGCTACTTTTCTGGCTATGTTAAATTGAGTGAATAGTGCTACATGGTTTTTAAAGTTTCTAATGTTTAAATTGGCCTGTACTGTACAAATCTCACTATAAAGCCTTAATTTGCTACCAAGAAATAAAGCAATATATTGGTAACTGATGAGCATGCAGCGTCATTTGCACTAACTAACTGCCAGTGAAAAAGAAAAAATTAAAACTTATAAAACTCGACAAGTAGGTGGGTGATTGAGCTTATCAACCCATCAGGTAGGTGAATGGCTATTAAAAGAGGGGAAAAATAATATTATGGATTATGACCCTGCCTTTCTCTTTAAAATTTGATTTTCCTCCTGTAGTTTTTTGACCCTGAAGCATAATCAGAAACTGGAAGTGTAAGCAAAAGAGAAAACAACATATAAAAAACAAAATGTATAAAAATTTCAGGAGGGCCTCTGCATTGGTTTAAAGGCATGTTAACATATTTGATGAGAAAAAAAAATGACTGAAAGGGTGGGGCACTTACTGGAGCAGTGTTGTCTTTTGAATGCTCTAGAAACCCTTCTCTGGGGGGCACTGGTGGAAAGTTAATAAAGGTAATTTTTCTAAGCCGAATGTTTTTAAGTACATAGTCTTGCATGATCTGGGTTGGTACTCTGAGACTGCTACTCATTTCAAGAAAATTTGAACTTATTGATGCAGCTTGCCTGATTTGACTTTTAACCTTTTTCCTATGTCTACTTCCAAAATGACAGAACCAGAAAATACTGGAAAAAACTGCACTGGTAGAAACCGAAAATAGTGCATGTGGAGCTGAGTTTGCGGAAAGGTTGCAATGTGTGACTGATGCGTCTCCTAGTTTAGGGTTAGCAAAGATTATAAATTTCCTGAGTGAAAACATAGGTGGGTCTTGAACCATAAAATTCAGGCTCAGGCACTGAGGCTTCTTCTGCTCTGCAATAGCATATGGTGATCTCATCAAAGAAAGGCAGCAATGAATCACATCAGTCAGGCTGGCATGTTGTTTATGTCTTTGGAATCATTTGTGTCCTCTGGAAAATAATTTGTCTCTTAGAAAAGGCACATCTAAACTACCATGCACTGTGATTATAGCCAAAACTCTGTGTCTAGGTATTTATCCTTCCCTTGGCTTTTTGTGAAAAGTAGAACTGTATTTTTCCTATTAGCAGCATGAAACTGACGAGGAGTGCAACACTTTTGCCTCTTTGAACTGTGCTCATCTGGCTTCCTACAGAATGCAGAACAGCTTCTGTTGGATGTCTTGAACTCAGAACCATGGTCCAGACGGAAACCTTCAGTAGTGGCTTATGTGGTTTCTCAAAACTTCTAGACTTTGAACTGAAAAATTGAAAAGCTAGTTAAATATCTAATTTTAGCACTAGGCTTGAAACAGGTCCAAACTCTTATTAAAAAGAAACACAGTGATTATTTGGACCGCAGGCTGGCTGCCCCTCAGCTGCCAGTGTTAGTTTAGAGGGGAAATGTTCTCTGACAGAGTTGGTGCATGGCTCCTCTTCCCTCAGCGTTCCCCAAGAAAGTAACCTACCCTCAGTTTTTTGTAATTTTGTCAGTTTAGCTATTCATGCTGAAACTTCCCATGCTGGGCTTTGAAAATGTTAGTTGAAATGGTTCATCTGGTTCTGTAAATAAAGCTGGAGGAAATGTCATTTTGCTCATGTTAAACTCCAGGTGACCTTTCCTTTGAAAATGGTCCATTGCTCTTCATCTCCTCTAAGGCCTTCAGAGTGAAAGTGTGAGCCTTGCCAGGAGGTCAGCTTTGGGACAAGGATGTGCCTTCCTGATCTCCCAGTAAGCTTCACCTAAATTTAGCTGCATTACATGTCTTTGAACATCTCCAATTCTGTAACCAGGGAGAAAAGGGACATGCTCAGACCTTTTGGAGCTTGTAGTCTGGCAAGGCTGAGATTTGGCAAAGCTAAGAGGCGTTTATCACTCTGGCAGTGTGAAGGAGGAAATGACCTGAATTATATGGAAGCTGCCTGGAAAGTCAGGGCAGGGTTCAAAGATGGGGTGTTGAGAAGTAGGACAAAAAGGCTGAAGGAGATTTCCTGGGCAAGCGGGACTGTGACTGAGATGACAAGAGATTGAATGATTTTCAGCAAAGAAACTGGGACTGAGGTTATAGAGAAGTGGGTTTGTATGATTGGTTGAGCAGGGAGGGCTAGGCCAGAGGAAGAAAATAGTGAAGAATGAAGTTTGGGGTAGGAAGAGAAACATGAAGAAAATTAATTGAACTTCATTTAAATACAGTACACTCCTTTGGCACGGCCTCTGAGAAAAGCTTACAAATTGTTTCAGTGAGGATACCTCAAGTTTGAAAAAATAAAGTAGTAATTTTGTATCTACTGCAGCCAATATTTACCTTTATATATATATTTTGTGGGGCCAGAAAGTCTTTACCAGCAGAAGTATTTAGCTTTGCCAGTATATGAAGGTCTGAGAGATTGTCAGCCTCAGAGTCTTTTTCCTGCCTTTACACCTTTGTAGCCTGGTGAGGAGAACAAGGAAGGCTGGTTTGTAAGGTCCATTCTTCTTTGGAACTGCATTTCAACAACACCAGCTGCTCACCTTTGCTAAGGTGCAGCCACCAGTGTGGACCCAGACTCGTGCCATTTTTGAGGACTCTTAAAGGGCACAGTAATCATGGGTTCAAGTTACTGCCAGGCAGCAGACATCAGAATTCAAACTTAGCCTAACAAAAATACTCGACTGAACAGCATTACTTCATGCTATTAAACAGATTAAATCAATTTTCTCTGTAAAATAGCTGAGGGATGTTTATTTTCATGCACCCTGCTGCACAGATTCAGGGAAGATTTTTCCTCCATCTTTTTCTTCTGTGGAAATTGGATAGAAACATCAGGTAATTTTTCCCTTGTCCTCTGGATGATCACAGAGGCACATTTCAACTAGTCAATAGAAATATTTTGCAAGTAGGCTCTGCTAATGCAAATTTTAAAAATATTGTGAGTGCAACTATCCGTTTGGCCACAGATATGCCAGATTAAGCCAATATGAAAGTTACTGAACAGGCATTGGAGGAAGAACCAGAGGAATTAGAAGGAGAGATCTTTCAAAACAAATGACCCCCCACCCCCAGGTTTTTATTAATGACTCTGGTACTTTTAATACAGGACAGAAGTCTTAGACTTCCTTCTAGCACTAAAGCTACTGTGTTCTTTGGATTAGAATAGATTAGTTTTCCTTTGTTTTTTAAAGAAACATTGCATGCTGTAGCCTCAAGCTCACACAAAGGGTAGAAATGGAAAAAGTCATCTTGCAAAGTGGAGAAAGAATGCAGAGATGGATCTGTGCCAAAAGGAGTGAATGTTTTTAACAGTTTCATGTTTCATTTTCTATCATCGATGGCTCTTAAAATACCATTTTTAAAAACAAGTAAATGGCCATTCTTGAGATTTTTTGTTACTTCTTCAATATATTCCATTCACACAGTTGCCTCAGCAGACAGACATCAGAGTTTTGGAAAAATTGAAATTCTAGCTATGGAAAATAAGTGTAGCTAATGTATGGTTTAGAATTTAATTTAAGCCCTATCAAGTCTTTTTCACATCTTAATCACTTGTCCTATAAAGGATATATCCCAAGCCTTTACCAGGTCAACTGCAAAAATATTTCTAAATGTTTAGAACTAATTCTATTTTTCTGACACCCCAATTTTGCCTTAGTTGTCTGCTCCTGGTCTGTTGTATGCTGTGAAAATACTTTGAAGAAAAGGGCTTATTTCTGGGCTTGAATTACATTCTATTTGATTGCTTTATGGTCATGTATCTCATGTGATGTCACAATTGTTGATGGTCTTTTGTGACAGGACACTGCAGAGTAACTACCTGGATTTCAGCACGGAAATAGAATGGACTTACACATGATGTAAGTGACATAGCATTTGTCAGAGCCTGCATTTTCATGAGTGATGGCTGCTTTGGGTCTTAAAATACCTACCCATAGCAGTGTCAGTACTTTTGTAGTGATCTATTCCTTAACTGAATGAAGCATCTTCTGTTTTATTTGGCATCAATGACAGGACCAAACTCTAGCTACAACACCTGCTTTGGGCCAGGTAGTAGAGTCATGACCTTTCCTCCATGCTGTCCCTTCCTTTTTTCTTCTGCCCTCATAGAGTTACGTAAGCTCCTCTGACAGTCTGAGGTATTCCACCTCCATAGTCCTGGATAATTTAAATTATGGATGTCTCAGTATTAATAGGATGAGTAAGGCCATTTACTTGGCAGGCAATCCTGGTGATTAACTTGAGGGGATTGACTAAAAGTTACTCAGTGGCCAAATCTTGCTGATGTTTCTCAGTGGAGGTGGGAAGTCCATACACAAATATCTGTAAATATGATGCTTTCTGATGCTTTTTCTTAAGGGGGTATGTGGAGCTACAAGGTGAATCAGCTGGGTATAAGTGGTCTGCATAATCAAGCCATTGAAATCCTCTTTGTTAAAGTAGTGTAGTAGAAAATCAGGTATACATCTATCATGTTGTGTATCGTCAGGTCATACCTCAGTGACACTGCTGGGGCAGCACCACTGGAGTTTTTTTCTCTCTAGCATTGTATTCCTGTACCTGAACAGCAGAGAAACTACCCAGACTTTCTCTATCTGTGCCCCACGTGATTGTGAACTTTCGGTGTTTGGCTTTTTGATCTCCAACAAACTCCTGTCCTCCATCTCTCTCTCAGCAGCTGCCATGCTGGGGAGCCATCCCAATGGCCACATCTTAATGGGAACTGGCCAAGATGCCATCTCTGCTGCTGCCACCTCCCCAGTTGGGCTGACAGCTTCTCTCAGCGCTGAAACCTGAATCCCTGCTGTTGTTCCTTCTGAAATGTGATTGCCTCTCCCTTTTCCTTTCCTTGAGATTTGCTCACCACAAATAGGTCTCCCATCATACAGGCAGGAGAGCAGTGGTGCCACCGTGGTGGGACCTGCTGCATTTTCCAGAGAGCCAGAAGGAAAGGAAAGGAAAGTTCAAGCAAGCAGGCAAGTGCCTGGCATTTGGCAGTAATCATAGAGCCATGCAGGGTCACTTGGTCTCTCAGGACGGAGAAGAATATCCCAGAAATATATCTGCTTGATATATTTCCATTACAGCCTGGC